GAGGACTACAGGGCATCATGAAGCACCATAGCACGTCATAGAGCATCTCAGAGCACCAGGGAGCACCACAAAGGATCATGGAGGCCTACAGACCACCACAGACCATCCAGAAGATCACGGAGCAGCACACAGCTCCATAGAGCATCATAGGGCTCAATGGAGACAAAATAACATCACAAAGCATCATCCAATATACAACAAAAGACACCATGGGGTATCCTGGAGCCCAACGGGACAGTATCCGCTGCAGGTGTCGGCGGGCATGGCTCCATGCATTCTGCATCCCTTCTGGTTTCCCACAGCAGGGACAGCAAGCCTCCACTCCCCCCTCCTCCCTCACCCTGCCCTCTGCCCAGTGTACCACAGAGGACAGAAATAGGTGTGGGAAGCAAGTTGAGCTCCATCGTGCAGTCTCTGGGCCACCTGGGTACCCAGTCTCCTCCTCTGCAGGAATAAGACTTCTCCCCATGGCCCTCAGTCTTTCATCTCCTCACCAGACTCAAAGGCCTCACCCTCCTGCATCCTTCTGGCCATCCAGAGCTCACTCCCGCTGCTCAGTGCATCTCCCAACTGAGCCCTGCTTCCTCCTTCTCCTAAGAGTGGCGACCTGGGCTGTCTGTCTGTTCTTCCAGCACAGCTCCTGCACTGGCCAAGCCCCAAACTCTCTTATCTCAGACCAGTGCCTCTGCCCTAAGCACAGACCCATGTCCCTGGAAGCCTGCCACTCTGAGGCTCTGTCCTCATACCAGCATATTCCAACCAACACTTAGAGGTGCTATGACTTTTCACAGATCCCTAAACTCAAAAGGTCTTCTTTGATCCCTCCCGCACACAACCCCTTACAACCCACCGTTTTGGGTCAACACATCCTTCCTCCCCATTTCCTTCTGTGCCTTCCCTGCCAGTCGCATTGGTACCAAGCTGCCTCTGGCCAGAATTAACACTTCCTAGCTCACCTTTACTGGGAACCCCAGCCCCACACCTTGCAATCCCTGCAACTGTCAAAGGAGCTCTGGACCCTGTGTGCACCATTAAGCTATGCAGTCTCTGCAGCTCCCAAACCCATCCATGCATCTCCATTTCCATCTTTAAATACGCTGATCTGTCTGTGACCTTCCTTTCCCTTGATTTCTGTCGATCAAATCCTGTTCTGTGAATTTCCAGGGGGTTCGTTACTCAATAAGTCAGTTGTGTGTGTGTGTGTGTGTGTGTGTGTGTGTGTGTGTGATGCACACCACCAGAATTTATCTGCCTGTCTCTCTACCTCCCCAGTGCTGGGATTATAAGTGTCTGTTGCCAAACTTGTG